TTCTGGGAAAATTCTTAGAAGCAGAGGAAACGAATCTCTTAGTGCCATCTGTGAAGTCTTGGTTTCATCAATGCATTCTGAGCAAGGCCACAACGTTCGTCGATATCTTTGAAGTTCAGAACCTTCCAGGCTTTCAAATGCTGCCTCTATTGGGGCTGCAAAGTACTAACACAAATTCGTTTTCAATTCAATAAAATTAAAAAAAATATATATTAAAAATATTTATTTATACTGAAATCTCCAATAGAATTTTTGTGTAATTTCCATGAACAAAAAAAAGAATAATTTTTTGAATTATTAAACAGAATTAACAAAAATTTGTAGATTAAATAATGGTGTCAGGCATTATAGTTTCGGTAAGGAATTTTTTTCTCGAAAGTGGGTAGGATTTCGGGGGTATGTGTAATTACCAAAAATGATTGTAATTGACCCCCAGAAACGAAGAGAATTTTTTCAAAATGATTTGAAATTTTTTAATTTTTGTCGAAAAATTTGCCCAACTACTCGAATTTTTTTCTAGAATATGGTTAGGATTTCGGGGGTATGTCTATTGACAAAAAATAATTGTAATTAAGCCCCTCGCCTGAAAATATTTTTTTTAGAACGATTTGAAAAATTTTAATTTTGGTGAAAAATTTATTCACTTATTGAATTTTTTTCTCGAAAATGGTTAGGATTTCGGGGGTATGTCTATTGACAAAAAATAATTGTAATTGAGCCTCTCAACTGAAAATAATTTTTTCAGAACGATTGGAAATTTTTTTTCTCGTCGAAAAATTTAGGGATATCCCCCTGTCGATTTTTCTTGGAAATAAGATTTTTATTTTTAATAATTTTGTTTGACGCCCTACAGAAAAATTTTCTAATATTGTTTTGTAGGTATCCATGGGTACTATTTCCCCTAAAAATTTCATTCAATTATATTCACTATTGTAGGAGTTATGGCTGTTTGAAAATTGAACCATTTTTACGGAGTTTTTTTAATTTTACGGACTGAACGAACAAATTTGTCAGTATTTTTATAATTTCTACATATTCTTCACTAAAATACGCGTCGTTTGCATTTTGAAACTTCAAAATCGTTCAATCCGTTCGGAAGTTATGGCATTTGAAAGATTTGTATGCAATTTCAAGGCACAATTTTGGGGTCAGGCATTTATGGTTTCAGTAAGGAATTTTTATCTCGAAACTGGTTAGGATTTTGAGATTATGTCTATTGATAAAAAATAATTGTAATTGATACCCCCAACTGAGAATATTTTTTTTAGAACGATTTGAAAAATTTTAATTTTGGTGAAAAATTTATTCACTTATTGAATTTTTTTCTCGAAAATGGTTAGGATTTCGGGGGTATGTCTATTGACAAAAAATAATTGTAATTGAGCCTCTCAACTGAAAATAATTTTTTCAGAACGATTGGAAATTTTTTTTCTCGTCGAAAAATTTAGGGATATCCCCCTGTCGATTTTTCTTGGAAATTAGATTTTTATTTTTAATAATTTTGTTTGACGCCCTACAGAAAAATTTTCTAATATTGTTTTGTAGGTATCCATGGGTACTATTTCCCCTACAAATTTCATTCAATTATATTCACTATTGTAGGAGTTATGGCTGTTTGAAAATTGAACCATTTTTACGGAGTTTTTTTAATTTTACAGAGTGAACGAACAAATTTGTCAGTATTTTTATAATTTCTACATATTCTTCACTAAAATACGCGTCGTTTGCATTTTGAAACTTCAAAATCGTTCAATCCGTTCGGAAGTTATGACATTTGAAAGATTTGTATGCAATTTCAAGGCACAATTTTGGGGTCAGGCATTATAGTTTCAGTAAAGAATTTTTTTCTCGAAAATGGTTAGGATTTCGGGGGTATGTCTAATGACAAAAAATAATTGAAATTGACCCCTGCAATTGATAATAATTTTTTTAGAACGATTTGAAATTTTTTGATTTTGTCGAAATATTTGTCCCCCTTCTTGAATTTTTTTCTCGGAAATGCGGAGAATTTCGAGGATATGTCTAATGACAAGAAATTATTGCAATTAACCCCTGCAATTAAAAATAATTTTTTCAAAACGATTTGAAATTTTTTAATTTCGCCAAAAAATTTGCCCATCTACTCGAATTTTTTTCTCGAAAATGGTTAGGATTTCGGGGGTATCTCTATCCACGAAAAATGATTGAAATTAACCCCTGCAACTGAAAATAATTTTTCCAGAATCAAAACTGTAATATTTATACTCCACGTTTCTTAAAGCCACAAAATGACAACTAAAATTTATTGTAAATTGAGAAAAATCTAGAAAAACAGCTACAAAATTCTCCAAAAAATACTCCCTAGTGCCAAAATATTATTTTCAAAAATAATTAAATAACGTTCCCAGTAAACGAAACGTTTAATACAATATTGGATGCAATTATTTCCCCCCAAATGGTTTATTCAGTTTCATAATTCCCTGCAATCGATTATAAAAACGTTTTTCCAGCCTCATATATCGTTATGACATATTAAAATTTAATTTCAGAGTCCTGTACGATCGATTACGAAAACACGACAACTCGCTCGTCGTTAAAATTTAATTAAACAATAACACGAGAAAATATTATATATTAAACACGATACAGATATAGTAAACTACTTAATAATTTACAGTGAATGAGATTTTCAATTTTTTAATAAGCTTCGAGCGATTTATTTCGAAATTTAGTTATATTTCTGACAAATTATTCTTTTACGGTCGCGATGGACACAAATATTTTGTTTCCATAAACTCTCGCGCACATTTCTGTGTTATTTTTTATTCCACGTTTGGACACCAGTATTGATAGAAATAATTCCAATCGAGGGGAAAAAACCAGTAAACGTTAAAAATTTTATCGCGGAATCGCTTTCGGCGTAAACAAAAAACATTCGTTTTTCAATTGGAATTTTAATGGCGGCTTTTCATTTTTGCACCTTTCTTTTTCATACGGGTGTTAAATTAATTGTTTGCAACTTAATTTCGAGGTAAATTCGCTACCAGAAACGTTCATTTTTTTTTTAACAATTCATTGTAAAGAAAAAAGTAAAGAAAAATTTGTTTAAATTAATGCTCCAAATTTTTAATATAATTTTTATGTGTAAGTAAATTTATTTGTTTAGGAAGATAGTGAATAAAAATTTTGACCCAAATTTATCAATATTTAAATTAATTTTTTATTATCAAAAATTTTTAAAAGCCACAATTTAACATTAATTTTAAGATTTTTATATAATAATTATTTTTTTAAAAGAGTTTGTATATATTCATCTATGCCTTTGTTTATAAAAATTTTGACCCAAATTTAGCAATTTTTAAATTAATTTTGAATATTATAATTTTCACATTTTCTGTCCATGCAATTTTTTATTATCAAAAATTTAAAAAAAAAACACAATTTAACATTAATTTTAAGATATTTATATAATAATTATTTTTTTTAAAGAGTTTGTATATATTCATCTATGCTTTTGTTTATAAAAATATTCCCCAAATTTGTCAATTTTTAAATTAATTTTGAATATTTTAATTTTTCACGTTTTCTATCCATGCAATTTTTTATTATCAAAAATTCATAATCCAACACTAATTTTAAGACTTTTCTATATCATATTACCAAAAGACTTTCTATATTTTGTTTGTAAAAATATACTTCAACAAGAAACTGCACAGTGAATGCCTCTTCCTTGGTTCAGTATTATTTGCACAGCTGATACAACATCGAATGATGCATACGATTGACCACGTGTTTCCATCAAAACGTCAGAGCAACATTTATGAATTATTTGCCTGGCTGCTTAATGTGAAAGTGTAATGAAACATTTCAAAAGAAGCAAATTAACAATATCGTTTGAGGTTTCAGGGACAAATTCAGACTAAATAACAATCTCCAACAATTTTTTAATTGAAAAATCAAAGATCATTTAGAAAAAATATATGAAAACCAGTTTACTTTTTGAAATATTCCTCTATAAATTTATGGAATCACATAATACTTGGATATCCCCTGCATAATACTTGTTGCACTGACATTTTTCTACGTTTTTATGCTGAGTGTTCAACCAACTCTGGAAAAAATTTTAAGGGGGGGTTCTAGAGGCCAAAATACGACGAAAATCAAGAATAGTAATTTTTTAATTGAGGCTTTATTCAAGAGTTATTAACAGTTGCGCCTCTAGATAGGCAATTTGCGTAGTTAGGCACCCTGCGTACAGATGCAACTGTTAATAACTTTTTAACGAAGCCTCAAACGAAAAATTACTATTCTTGATTTTCGGTTTATCTTGACCTGGTGAATCCCCCATTAAAATTTTTCCCAAGCTTGAGGCTTCGTTAAAAAGTTATGAACACTTGCACCTCTAGATAGTCAACTTGCAACAGTTGCAACTGCTAATAACTTCTTACCGAAGCCTCAAGCTTGGGAAAAATTTTAATGGAGGGTTCTAGAGGCCAAAATACGACGAAAATCAAGAATATCAATTTTTCGTTTGAGGCTTCGTTTAAAAGTTATTAACACTTGCTCCTGATGAAAGTTGCCTATCTAGAGGTGCAAGTGTTAATAACTTGTAAACGAAGCCTCAATTAAAAAATTACTATTCTTGACTTTCGTCTTATTTTGACCTGGTGAATCCCCCATTACAATTTTTCCCAGGGTTACCCTGCATAACATTGTACTTGCAATGCTAAAATGCACATGCCTGAGGTTACATATTGAAATAAAGAGTAAATACGTGAACAGAAACTCTCATAACTCAATCCAAGGGAGCACTTAAACTCCTGTACTCGACACTTATGCAATTAATTGCTTATGGTATAGATGTACATCTACAGGCAAATGAAACTCCTCCATGTTTACTCGTATTAATTAAACACGACAGGCTAAACAGTATGCTGAATTAGTTCTTGCAATGTAAACAAGATGGATTCATCTATACGCAATTTCGAATAGATATAAGCGGTGCTTGCACTAGAATTTTCATCAGTTTTAGTGGATGTGTTTAGGAGATCAAGATGTCGCGGCTTTTTCTTATTCTGTTCGCCATTTTGACTGTTTTCTCCATCTGTAAGTGACAAGATTGGAATACATATGGTTTTTAGAAATAATTAGAATATTTAAAAATTTTTTTTTTGATATTGACAAAAATTATAGCTAAATTGCCTTCGACAATTTTAATATTTTCCATCATATTATTAACAATTTTTTAATATTATTTATTTAGATTTATTAGAACATTTAAGTTAAATTTTTCTTCTATTTTGGTTGGTGAAGTTAAAAATTTGAGTTCCATTAATATTTGATTTTTCATAAAATAAATATGTGTATAAAGTTTTATATTAAACAATGAATTGTTAATAATTTTAGCTGTGCAAAGCACGAGATCAGGATGCCCAAAACACGAATTTTGGAATGAATGTGGATCTTCCTGTCCACCCACTTGTGAGAATCCCAGACCTGAGATCTGTAACATGGTATTTATTAATTATCCCCAAATTAATTATCATTCCAATTAAATTCGAGTCTCTAAAAAATTTTTGTAATTAATTGTAACATTTTTCTGTTTCAGATGTGCAGAGAAGGCTGTGAATGCAGACCAGGTTTCCTAAGAAACAAGGATGGACAGTGTGTTCACAGATTCAAATGTTAATAATTTTCAATAACTTTTCAAAAATTAATTTGTTGGCCTGTTTCAATGTTCTCTTAAAAATTATTGTATATAAAGATTGTACTCTCCATGTTAAAAAAGATTGAATAAACATTCTCACTGCATTATAAATTTATAATAAATAATAATTTTCAATAACAATTTATTAGGATTTATTAGGAATAAATTCTTTAAAATACTCTGGTTTTTACTTTGAAAATCAAGCTGTTTTTCATGATATAATATTTATTTAATAAATGATAAATAAACATTCTCACTGCATTATAAATTTATAACAATAATTTTTCAATAACAATTTATTAGGATTTATTAGAATTAGAATTAGAATTTATTAAAATACTCTGGTTTTTACTTTGGAAATCAAGCTGTTTTTCATGATATAAATTTATTTAATAAATGTTACATATTATTAACAGTTTTACAATTGAAAAAATCAAAAATAAATTTGTTTAATTATATTTATATAATGTATACAATTTATTAGGAATAAATATTGAAAATCAAGCTGTTTTTCATGATATAAATTTATTTAATAAATGTTATATATTATTAACAGTTTCACAATTGAAAATTAATAATAAATTTGTTTAATTATATTTATATAATATACACAATTTATTCCTAATAAATTATCAATTATAATTACAATTGAAAATCATAAATAAATTTGTTTAATTATATTTATATAATATACAACAATTTATTAGTAATAAATTATCATTTATCAATTATAATTACAATTGAAAATCAAAAATAAATTTGTCTAATTATATTTATATAATATACACAATTTATTCCTAATAAATTATCAATTATCAATTATAATTACAATTGAAAATCATAAAGAAATTTGTTTAATTATATTTATATAATATACACAATTTATTCCTATTAAATTATCAATTATCAATTATAATTACAATTGAAAATCAAAAATAAATTTCTTTAATTATATTTATATAATATACACAATTTATTCCTAATAAATTATCAATTATCAATTATAATTACAATTGAAATTCATAAATAAATTTGTTTAATTATATTTATATAATATACACAATTTATTCCTAATAAATTATCAATTATCAATTATAATTACAATTGAAAATCATAAAGAAATTTGTTTAATTATATTTATATAATATACACAATTTATTCCTATTAAATTATCAATTATCAATTATAATTACAATTGAAAATCATAAATAAATTTGTTTAATTATATTTATATAATATACACAATTTATTCCTAATAAATTATCAATTATCAATTATAATTACAATTGAAAATCAAAAATAAATTTCTTTAATTATATTTATATAATATACACAATTTATTCCTAATAAATTATCAATTATCAATTATAATTACAATTGAAAATCAAAAAATAAATTTGTTTAATTATATTTATATAATATACACAATTTATTCCTAATAAATTATCAATTATCAATTATAATTACAATTGAAAATCAAAAATAAATTTCTTTAATTATATTTATATAATATACACAATTTATTCCTAATAAATTATCAATTATCAATTATAATTACAATTGAAATTCATAAATAAATTTGTTTAATTATATTTATATAATATACACAATTTATTCCTAATAAATTATCAATTATCAATTATAATTACAATTGAAAATCAAAAATATATTTGTTTAATTATATTTATATAATATACACAATTTATTTTTGATTTTCAATTGTGAAATTATTAATAATATATAACATTTATTAAATAAATTTATACCATGAAAAACAAGTTAATTTTCAAAGTAAAAATCTGATTATTTGAAATTGTGTCGATAAAGATTAAAATAGAATTTATTTTATATTTTATTTTTGTATTGTATTTCATGTTATATTTCATATCTTTTTATTTTTATTATTTTCGATGTTCCATTCTTCATTCACTGAAGATTTTATGGATAATAAAAATTTATCGAACAGGGAATCGAGCTTGTACAGTTTAACAAAGGATATTAAACCTTGCTTGTTAGGGGTATCGACGAGCCACTCCATTATTATGTTTCTAAGTCAGATGTCTCGAACCAAATCGCCAATAATATCTTAATACCCCACTATGATTTTAATTAAGACGAAACTAAGCCTGATACAGAATTGCAAATAATTGAAGAGATTATTAGCAATTATTAATAATTGGTTCGTTGATAATCTTGAATCGATTGTTGGTTATAATTCATTAATTATTGTTATGAATTTATATTCATTGCTTATATTCATTCTAAAAATTAACGAGAAATATTTAATTGGAACGTTAAAAGAATTAATTAGTATTATGCATTCTAAAAATTAACGAGAAATATTTAATTGCAACGTTAGAAAAATTAATTATTACTATGCATTCTAAAAATTATCGAGAAATATTTAATTACAACGTTAGAAAAATTAATTAGTACTATGCATTGTAAAAATGAAATAGAAATATTTAATTGCAACGTGGCCCTCTATGGCTGTGACGGTTAGACGCTTGTCTTTTTGATTCCCGAGGTCTCGAGTTCGATCCCTCAGATCTGAAAAAATATTGTGTGTTCATTTTCTAATTGCAACGTTAGAAAAATTAATTAGTACTATGCATTCTAAAAATTAACGAGAGATATTTAATTGCACCATGCACAGGAAAAATTGATATCAGATTCTAAGAAGATTGTTACCGAAATTATTATACAGTGTTATTTGATCACACAAACCAAGCATTCACGTTGCTTTACACATACACACAGTATATTCGAATTTACACATATTTACTCATATTAATTAAACACCAGGGAGAAGCAAGACGTGCAAATTCGCTGATCAAATGCAAATAAGATAGGGTGAATACAAGCAATTCAGATCGCATATAAGAATACTTGCATCGAAATTTTTTTATCAGTTTTTGTGGAAACGTTTTACGATAAACATAGAAAATTAAAATGGCTCGTCTTCTTGTCACTGTATTCGCTCTCTTAGCAATTTTCACTATCGGTGAGTATTATATTTCAAACTCCTTTTCTTGAATAATTAGAAATTTTAATTTCTAGAAAATTTCTAATCAGAAATTTAATTTCTGGGAAATTTCTAATCAGAAGGTTAATTTCTAGAAAATTTCTAATCAGAAATTTAATTTCTGGGAAATTTCTAATCAGAAATTTAATTTCTATCAAATTTCTAATCAGAAATTTAATTTCTAGAAACATTCTAATCAGAAATTTAATTTCCAGAAAATTCATTAATCAGAAATTTAATTTCTAGAAACATTCTAATCAGAAATTTAATTTCTAGAAACATTCTAATCAGACATTTAATTTCTAGAAACATTCTAATCAGAAATTTAATTTCTAGAAACATTCTAATCAGAAATTTTATTTCTAGAAACGGTCTAATCAGAAATTTCATTTCTAGAAAATTCATTAATCAGAAATTTAATTTCTAGAAACATTCTAATCAGAAATTTTATTTCTAGAAAATTTCTAATCAGAAATTTAATTTCTAGAAACATTCTAATGAGAAATTTAATTTCTAGAAACATTCTAATCAGAAATTTAATTTCTAGAAACATTCTAATCTGGAATTTAATTCCTAGAAAATTTCTAATCAGAAATTTAATTTCTAGAAACATTCTAATCAGAAATTTAATTTCTAGAAACATTCTAATCATACATTTAATTTCTAGAAACATTCTAATCAGAAATTTAATTTCTAGAAACATTCTAATCAGAAATTTTATTTCTAGAAACGGTCTAATCAGAAATTTCATTTCTAGAAAATTCATTAATCAGAAATTTAATTTCTAGAAACATTCTAATCAGAAATTTTATTTCTAGAAAATTTCTAATCAGAAATTTAATTTCTAGAAACATTCTAATGAGAAATTTAATTTCTAGAAACATTCTAATCAGAAATTTAATTTCTAGAAACATTCTAATCTGGAATTTAATTCCTAGAAAATTTCTAATCAGAAATTTAATTTCTAGAAACATTCCAATCAGAAATTTAATTTCTAGAAACATTCTAATGAGAAATTGAATTTCTAAAAACATTCTAATCAGAAATTTAATTCGTAGAAAATTCACTAATCAGAAATTTAATTTCGAGAAAATTCACTAATCAGAAATTTAATTTCTAGAAAATTCACTAATTAGATATTGAATTTCTAGTAAATTTCTAATCAGAAATTTAATTTCTAGAAACATTCTAATCAGAAATTCAATTTCGGGAAAATTCACTAATCAGAAATTTAATTTCTAAATAATTCACTAATAAGAAACTTAATTTCTAGAAAATTCACTAATCAGAAATTTAGTTTCTAGAAAATTCACTAATCAGAAATTTAATTTGTAGAAAATTCACTAATCAGAAATTTAATTTCTAGAAAATTTCTTATTATTAAGAAATTAATATTAGATTAGATAGATATTCAAAGAAATTTATAATCTAATTGAAAATAAATATTTACTTGTAATTTCTCAAATTTTTAAAAATCTAATCGAGTGAATTTCTAATAATTTTTATTAGTTAATAAAGAATAATTAATTAATAAATAAAGAAATATCTCAGTACTTCTGGTGTTAAAGATCGAAGTAGAATTAATCTTTGATAATTGATTTCTCATATGAGATATATACATATATAGAATAAGAAATTAAATTTTTTAAAATTCCAGTGACCTTGGCGTGTCCAAAAAATGAAGTTTGGAACGATTGTGGCTCAGCTTGTCCACCTACTTGTGCAAATCCTGACCCTATTTGCGTTAAGGTTTGTATTTTCAAATTAATTTTAATAATTAATATCAACTATTAATCATACCACTATAAAATTAAATTTAAAAAATTACTTATGTCCGTTACTTTACGTTTATTTGAAACTTCAGAAATTTCAAATATCGTTCTAATATAACAATTTTTTTTTTATCTAAATTCTTTCCCATCAAACCACGAATTAGAAAATTTTCATTGCTAATAATAATTGTTCTAATTTCGTAAATTTTTCAGAATCTAATCGAGTGAATTTTTTAAAAATTAAGATTTGTATTTAAAATATTTTTGAATTTTTGATTATTTATTTCACGATATAAATTCTATTTATATTTGTTTCTAATTATAAAACAATTTTTATTTCAGATTTGTAAACCTGGATGTAGTTGCAAATCAGGCTTAGTGAGGAACAAATCTGGACAGTGTGTTCTCCAACGTGATTGCTGAATTTGGAAAATGATTAATCGAGAATCGACAATGTTTAATGATTGGACAGAGATTTGAAAATTTTTGTAAAATTGATCTTGTTGTGTGTGATGTGTCTAATTTTTATGTTAATGAAAATTGAATAAACTGTTTTTACTATATTTTCTGTTGTTATTATTATAGATTAGAAATTATGTGTGTTATTTAATGGGAATTTTAAAATTGTTCTAAAATGGAAACTTTATAATGATTAGAATCTAATTCTTCTAAATTCAATATATATTTTTTACTATATTTTCATAGATTAGAAATTCTCTGTGTTATATATTGGGAATTTTAAAAATTGTTCTAAACTAGAAACTTTATAATGATTATAATCTAATTTTTCTAATTTCTTGTGTAGTTTCTCTGCTAATAAAAATTAAATAAAGTGTTCTGGGTTGTTAGTACCATACTTGAGAAATTATTTGTGTTATATAATGGGAATTTTTAAAATTGTTCAGAACTAGAAACTTTATAATGATTATAATCTAATTTTTCTAATTTCTTGTGAAGTTTCTATGCTAATAAAAATTGAATAAACTGTTTTTACTATATTTTATGTTGTTAATACCATAGATAAGAAATTATCTGTGTAATAGAATGGGAATTTTAAAAATTGTTCTAAACTAGAAGCCTTATAATGATTATAATCTAATTTTTCAAATTTCTTGTGAAGTTTCTGTGCTAATAAAAATTAAATAAAGTGTTCTGAGTTGTTAGTACCATACTTGAGAAATTATGTGTGTTATTTAATGGGAATTTTTAAAATTGTTCTAAACTAGAAACTTTATAATGATTATAATCTAATTTTTCTAATTTCTTGTGAAGTTTCTATGCTAATAAAAATTGAATAAACTGTTTTTACTATATTTTATGTTGTTAATACCATAGATAAGAAATTATCTGTGTAATATAATGGGAATTTTTAAAATTGTTCTAAACTAGAAGCCTTATAATGATTATAATCTAATTTTTCAAATTTCTTGTGAAGTTTCTGTGCTAATAAAAATTAAATAAAGTGTTCTGAGTTGTTAGTACCATACTTGAGAAATTATGTGTGTTATTTAATGGGAATTTTTAAAATTGTTCTAAACTAGAAACTTTATAATGATTATAATCTAATTTTTCTAATTTCTTGTGAAGTTTCTATGCTAATAAAAATTGAATAAACTGTTTTTACTATATTTTATGTTGTTAATACCATAGATAAGAAATTATCTGTGTAATAGAATGGGAATTTTAAAAATTGTTCTAAACTAGAAGCCTTATAATGATTATAATCTAATTTTTCAAATTTCTTGTGAAGTTTCTGTGCTAATAAAAATTAAATAAAGTGTTCTGAGTTGTTAGTACCATACTTGAGAAATTATGTGTGTTATATAATGGGAATTTTTAAAATTGTTCTAAACTAGAAACTTTATAATGATTATAATCTAATTTTTCTAATTTCTTGTGAAGTTTCTATGCTAATAAAAATTGAATAAACTGTTTTTACTATATTTTATGTTGTTAATACCATAGATAAGAAATTATCTGTGTAATATAATGGGAATTTTTAAAATTGTTCTAAACTAGAAACTTTATAATGATTATAATCTAATTTTTCTAATTTCTTGTGGAGTTTCCATGCTAATAAAAATTAAATAAACTGTTTTTACTATATTCTGGGTTCTATACATATCAGAAATTTTTAAAATTTTACAATACTAAAACCATATATCATTGTTCTAAATTTCTAATTTCTAAGTCACTAAAAATTGAATAAACATTCACCCCAATATTTTGTGCCCTCAATACCATCAAAATTATCTATCCTACGTACTGAAAATTTAAAAAATTCATTGAAACTAAAAACTTCGTGACGATTATGGCCTAATTTTATTAATTTGTCGCGAAGTTAGCGAGTTTCGTGTCAGCTCGAATTCGAGGCGTGCCCGGACATCCTTAATGATATGCTGAACAGTAATGCCCCAAGAAATTGATTAAAGGTGTCCCGACAGTGATACAAGGTGCTCGTTAAATATGCGTTCGTGGAAGATGAGGAACTTTGCGTTCACTTTGTGAACTAATCGCACCCCTACGCCATTTTACCAAATGAAACTTCCACTTTCCTGGATGCTTACAATAACGAGGGGCAATTTTCTCAATTCTTCTCGAATCATCAGAAAAACGAAAAATTCATGAAAAATTACAAAAATTTAAATTTTTATGAATTTCAAATTCAACTCGAATTCTTTTGTTTTTTTTTTTTTTATCTCTGGAGGTAATTTTACGTTGAAAAAATAAGTCAGAAGCATGGAATAAATATTTTTCACACGAGACGAGGAAATAAAATTGATAAACAATATATGAATATTAAATGATTTTTTTTTTTGAGAAAAAAATTGAAAGCAATTTTTTAGTTTTGACTGTAAATTAATTTATAATTTATGATAATGTGAATTTTATGTTTGATTTACCATGTGAGGAATGCAAAAATTTATTTTGTACAAATCTCAAAATCAAATATCAGAGAAATATTTTTTTTTTAAATAATTTTTAAATAACACCATTGTGAATTAAACTTTATGTTGTTGTTGTGAATTTTGTATTAGAATTACCAAGTAAGGAATGCAAAAATTTATTTTCCACAAATCTAAAATCAAATGCAAATTAAAAAATGAAAAATATCGAAGAATTTTTTTTTTTTTTTAAATAAATTTTAAATAACACCATTGTGCATTAAACTTTATGTTGTTGTTGTCAATTTTATATTACAATTATCAATTTATTTTCCACAAATCTAAAATCAAATAAAAAAATGAAAAATATCAAAAGAATATTTTTTTTTTTTTAAATAATTTTTAAATAAACACAGTGAAATAACAATAACAATTACGTTTGTGTGTCTTTAAAATGCCAAAGTAAACATTTATACTCTGAGATGTAAACATTACCAACCAAAGAATAACAAATTGACTTTCTGGAAATGATTGTTTGCAAGGATTTGAAAGTTGCATGGACTGTCATAATAGTTTATTTTATTACTCATTCACCTAACGGATGTTCTCACTTTTTCCTTGTTTGTTCTCTTCAGAATATTTTCTCTGAATTTTGTTTTGCAAAAATATTTAAAAATAAATGAAGCTTCTATTTTCTCTGAATTTTGTTTGCAAAAATATTTCAAAAAAAGTAAAGCTTCTATTTTAAAAAGAATTTTATTAATTAAAGGCATAATTAAGATTCTGGGTTTTTGCAATGTTTCAATATTTAAATAAATTTTCAAACAATATTTATGAGAGCTTCTATGTTTTTTAAATGAATAATATTTACAAATTTTTATAATTAGTTAATTTTGTTATCGAAATATGCAAAGTTTAAACAAATTTTAAAAATCAATTTTTAATTCAAGGATTCTATTAGATATTTGCAACTAATTTTTATAATATATTTATTGAAAATGGTTTTGTCTTTAATGCAAGAAAATATTCAGACAAACGATAAACAATGAGAATCCAAAATTAAATTTATTTAGGTATCATACGATCTGATAGCTGATAAGAATTAATTCTATAAGACACACATAATTCAACAATCAACACTGTGTCACTTAATCATTTTAATAATCGAGAATTCTCGAGAATCATAAAACTTTCAAATTAATTGTTTAAAAAAAAAATTCTATAAACATTAGAAAATATTAATTTTATATTAATAAATATTTATATAAAATATAATTATTTAAGTAATATTATAGAAAAAAAGATAAAATATTGATTAATAATTATTTTGTAAATAATAAATATATTACATTATTAATCAATTTGAAAATAAGAACTTTAATTATAATATAATTTTTATATAATTTTATATAATTAATTATAAATAATTTTGTTATTATCTAGATTAGTAACAATCATTGTTGCCAATATAACGGAGGAATAATACTCGAAAAATAAACTGAGGATGAGATAAGTGCAAGGAAAACGATTTATCTTTTGTCATCCATTTGTTTGTTCTCTGCAATTGTATACTTAAGACGAGAGTAAACACGGTCCAAGCATAAACACGGGAATTCGTACAAGTATAAAAGCAGTTTCCCGGTGGCTCTCGTCAGGTTTAATAGAAACAAGTGTTTTAAAAACAGGATGAATCGTCTGATTATTTTGGTCGCCATTTTGGCTATTTTTTCTGTCTGTAAGTAATTGATAAAGAAATTTTCTGAGTCAGTAGTTAATTTACACCCGTTAGAATGTTATTTTTAATGGTATTGAATATTTTTCTAAATGTGGTATTCGTTTTAAATATTTTAATTTTGAAAATGTGTTATTTTGGAGCAAAGTTTGATTTTCATATTTATTGGTTAAATAAACAAATATTTTATTCGCCATTTTGGCAAATTTTTCTGTCTATAAGTAATTGAGAAAGAAATTTTCTGAGTCAGTAGTTAATTTACACCCGTTAGAATGTTATTTCTAATGTTATTAAATATTTCTTTAAGCATGGTATTTGTTCTAAATATTTAATTTCAGTTTGAAAATACAATAGTTTGAGCAAAGTGTGATTTTCATATTTATTGGTTAAATAAACAAATACTTTTCAAATTCACTATATATGAATTTTTGCATCTGTTCCAAAATTCAAAAATAATTTTATTAAATATTTTTCTAAACATGGTGTTTGTTTTAAATATTTAATTTAATTTTGAGAATATATTATTTTGAGCAAAGTGTGATTTTCATATTAATTACTAAAATAAAATAAATGTTTTTATTCTCCATTTTAATCATTTTTTTTTTTGCCAATAAATAATTGACAGAGAAATTTTCGAATTCACTATACATATATGAATTTTTACACCAATTTCAAAAGTAATTTCTATTATATATTAATATTATTAAACACTTCTCTAAACGTGGTATTGATTTGAAATATTTTAACTTAGTTTTGAGAATATATTATTTTGAGCAAAGTGTGACCTCCATATTTATTATTTTTATATTGTAAACCTTTGTTCACGATTGTTTGTGATACAAAATTTAAATAAACTATTTAATATGAAAAATAGCAGCTGTGAGTGGCTGTCCAAAAGATGAAGTGTGGGATGAGTGTGGCACTGCCTGTCCGCCATCTTGCAGAAACCCTGAGCCCAAACTTTGCACCATGGTTAGTATTTAAATCATATAATTCACAACTAGAAATTTTTTCTACGATATTTTAATTCAATATTTTAATTGAAAACTAAAAATCAGTAACAAATAAATATTATAATAAATATTTGACAATTGTAACAATTTGTATTTTTTAGCAATGTGTTATTGACTTTTGATGTGAAAATATTTTAATTCAATTTTTTAATTGAAAATTAATAATCGTTATCAAATAAATATTATAATGAATATTTCATTATTAATATTTGACAAAAGTAACAATTTATGTTTTTTGGCAATGTGTTATTGGCTGTCGATATGAAAATATTTTAATTCAATTTTTTAATTGAAAACTAATAATCGTTATCAAATAAATATTATAATGAATATTTCATTATTAATATTTGACAAAAGTAACAATTTGTGTTTTTTGGCAATGTGTTATTGGCAGTTGATGTGAAAATATTTTAATTGAAAATTGAAAATTGTTATTAAATAAATATTATAATGAATATTTGGGAATTTTAACAAATTGTGTTTTTTAGCTATGTGATATTGACTTGATGTGAAAATATTTTAATTGAAAATTGAAAATTGTTATTAAATAAATATTGTAATGAATAATATTTGACAATTGTAACAATTTGTATTTTTCAGCAATGTGTTATTAACTTGATATGAAAATATTTTAATTCATTTTCTAATTGAAAATTAAAAATCGTTATTACATAAATATTATAATGAATATTTTCGTCATTAATATTTGACAATTGTAACAATTTGTGTTTTTCAGCAATGTGTAATTGGCTGTCGATGTGAAAAGGGTCTTTTGAGAAACGACAAAGGAAAGTGTGTCCCTAAAAGCAGATGTTAATTACTTGACCAAAGGATCACATTTACCACTGAGGCAACGTTAATCGATTATGGCATTTCTTCAAAATTATTTTATTATCTGTTTCTGGAAAAAAATTGAACTTCTGTACTATCAGTTTCTAGAAAGAAAATAAATATTTCAACTGGCATATATTTCGAAGTTTTTTCTTTCTTTCATTGCTTGAAATAAAATAAAATAAAAAGAATAAAAATTCCTTGACATACTTTCTATAAATGTATGCAAATACAATAGTTAATTTATAGAGTCTTGTAAATTGTGAAAAATTCATGTCCTATCAGATATAAAAGACACTCAATATTTCAAAATTTTTCAAAATTTAGCAATTAAAAATTCTATACAGAAAATATTTTACTTCTTTTGTAATTTTGATAAAAGAAACTAGAAATTTCAGAATTTTTTACAATTTATATTTGCAATTAAAAATTCTAACCAAATAATATTTTACTCCTTTTATAATTTCGATAAAAGAAACTAGAAATTTCAGAATTTTTTAAAATTTATATTTGCAATTAAAAATCCTATCAAAATTTTACTTATTTTACTCCTTTTATAATTTCGATAAAAGTAGCACCATTCTGAATTTTTTAAAATTTATATTTGCAATTAAAAATCCTATCAAAATTTTACTTATTTTACTCCTTTTATAATTTCGATAAAAGGAACTAGAAATTTCAGAATTTTTTAAAATTTATATTTGCAATTAAAAATCCTATCAAAATTTTACTTATTTTACTCCTTTTATAATTTCGATAAAAGGAACTAGAAATTTCAGAATTTTTTAAAATTCATATTTGCAATTAAAAATTCTACCAAAAAAAATGTAAAGGACATATATTTTACTCCTTTTATTATAATTTCGATATAATAAACCAGCACTGAATTTTTTTAAATTTAAATTTGTGATAAAAAATGATACCAAAATATATAAAAGACAAATATTAAGCTTCTTTTATAATTTCGATAAAATGAACCAGCACTTTCTGAATTTTTAAAAATTTAAATTTGCAATTAAAAATCCTACCAAAAGATATAAAAGGCAAATATTTTACTCCTTTTATTGTAATTTCGATTAAAATAAAATAAATTAAATTACAAAATTTAAAGTGATAAAAAATGGTCCCAAAAGTGTAGTAATTATTATCTCGATGACCAGCGTTGAAAAAGACATTAAACGAAGATTAAAAATAATTTATTCCAGCACGATATCACCCTAACGGCGCCAATTTTGCTATTCCCGGAGCACGAACAATTAATATATCACGATTCCAATTTAGTTAAGGAGCACTTTTCGCGCTTATCTGGCTACACCCTTCCCACCTTCCAAAACACCGAATAGAATTGAATCTCGTCGTAATGGCGACTGCAGCGCAGAGCTACGTGGAAACAATTGCCAAAATCGTTATCGAATTACCGTGAAACGTTCTTGCTCGATCTCGTGGATATAAACGTGCTTTCATACAAGTCCAGTGGACATCGTTTACGTATAAGAATACGATTCGAAGAGAACAGAGATTCGTTCGTGACTAAAATCCCCATTTCCATGACAAATACCTCGCGTGAGCTTCTGCATGAATTAAAAGGTTTTGGCTTGAGGGGGGAGGGGGTGTAAAATGAAAGAAAAGAATTAATTTTATAGGAAATTATACTGGAATAAAAATGTGATGGACTCAATGTTAATTAGGGAAGATTTACAAAAAGTAAAATGGTAAAATGAGAATTAATTAGAAGGTTTTGGTTTGGGGGTTGTAAAATGATTGAAAAGAATTAATTTTGTTGGAAATTTTTCTGGAATAAAAAACTGAATATTAAAATGTGATGGACTCAATGTTAATTAGGGAAGATTTATAAAAAAGTAGAATGGTAAAATGAGAATGAATTAAATTTTGGTTTGGAGGGTGTAAAATGAAAGGAAAGAATTGATTTAGGTCGAAAATTATACTAGAATAAATTGAAATAGATGTGAATATTAAAATGTGATGGACTCAATGTTAATTAGGGAAGATTTGAAAAAAGTAAAATGATAAAATGAGAATTAAATAGAAGGTTTTGGTTTGGAGGGTGTAAAATGGAAGAAAAGAATTAATTTTGTTGGAAATTTTACTGGAATAAAAAACTGAATATTAAAATGTGATGGACTCAATGTTAATTAGGGAAGATTTATAAAAAAGTAGAATGGTAAAATGAGAATGAATTAAATTTTGGTTTGGAGGGTGTAAAATGAAAGGAAAGAATTGATTTAGGTCGAAAATTATACTAGAATAAATTGAAATAGATGTGAATATTAAAATGTGATGGACTCAATGTTAATTAGGGAAGATTTACAAAAAGTAAAATGGTAAAATGAGAATTAATTAGAAGGTTTTGGTTTGGGGGTTGTAAAATGATAGAAAAGAATTAATTTTGTTGGAAATTTTACTGGAATAAAAAACTGAATATTAAAATGTGATGGACTCAATGTTAATTAGGGAAGATTTATAAAAAAGTAGAATGGTAAAATGAGAATGAATTAAATTTTGGTTTGGAGGGTGTAAAATGAAAGGAAAGAATTGATTTAGGTCGAAAATTATACTAGAATAAATTGAAATAGATGTGAATATTAAAATGTGATGGACTCAATGTTAATTAGGGAAGATTTGAAAAAAGTAAAATGATAAAATGAGAATTAAATAGAAGGTTTTGGTTTGGAGGGTGTAAAATGGAAGAAAAGAATTAATTTTGTTGGAAATTTTACTGGAATAAAAAACTGAATATTAAAATGTGATGGACTCAATGTTAATTAGGGAAGATTTATAAAAAAGTAGAATGGTAAAATGAGAATGAATTAAATTTTGGTTTGGAGGGTGTAAAATGAAAGGAAAGAATTGATTTAGGTCGAAAATTATACTAGAATAAATTGAAATAGATGTGAATATTAAAATGTGATGGACTCAATGTTAATTAGGGAAGATTTGAAAAAAGTAAAATGATAAAATGAGAATTAAATAGAAGGTTTTGGTTTGGAGGGTGTAAAATGGAAGAAAAGAATTAATTTTGTTGGAAATTTTACTGGAATAAAAAACTGAATATTAAAATGTGATGGACTCAATGTTAATTAGGGAAGATTTATAAAAAAGTAGAATGGTAAAATGAGAATGAATTAAATTTTGGTTTGGAGGGTGTAAAATGAAAGGAAAGAATTGATTTAGGTCGAAAATTATACTAGAATAAATTGAAATAGATGTGAATATTAAAATGTGATGGACTCAATGTTAATTAGGGAAGATTTGAAAAAAGTAAAATGATAAAATGAGAATTAAATAGAAGGTTTTGGTTTGGAGGGTGTAAAATGGAAGAAAAGAATTAATTTTGTTGGAAATTTTTCTGGAATAAAAAACTGAATATTAAAATGTGATGGACTCAATGTTAATTAGGGAAGATTTAAAAAAAAGTAGAATGGTAAAATGAGAATGAATTAAATTTTGGTTTGGAGGGTGTAAAATGAAAGAAAAGAATTGATTTAGGTCGAAAATTATACTAGAATAAATTGAAATAGATGTGAATATTAAAATGTGATGGACTCAATGTTAATTAGGGAAGATTTGAAAAAAGTAAAATGATAAAATGAGAATTAAATAGAAGGTTTTGGTTTGGAGGGTGTAAAATGGAAGAAAAGAATTAATTTTGTTGGAAATTTTTCTGGAATAAAAAACTGAATATTAAAATGTGATGGACTCAATGTTAATTAGGGAAGATTTACAAAAGTAATTTTAATTATATTTGGACATAGAACTAAGTTTGAACGAACTCACAGATTACAAAAATACCCAATTTTCAAACCTATGTGTAATCTCGAATAATCTATTCGAGTTTTGTTGAAAAGAATACTTTTCAAAGAGAACTCGTTATCGGGGGAAAGTCGTACGGTGAATTCAAAATGGTGGAAAGTTTACCAATGGCGTCGTAAAATAAAGCAAATTGGCGAAACTTATGCTCTTTTAAAAGGATTCACGTTTCAAAATTGACTAACACAAATTTGAAAATTTTCATAATAATTGTAAAATTAAATCTTTGACAATTGTTAAGTAATATTAAATATCTCGACTGTATTTTAATGTCAAACATTAATCATACCACATTAAAAATTAAATTAAAAAAATTACTTATGTTTATTTGAAACTTTTGAAATTTCAAATTTCTATTTTAAAATAATTTTTTTCTAGTTGAGATTCTTATTCATTGAACCATGAATTTGAATATTTTAATTGTTAACAATTGTGGAGTTAAATTACTTAAGTTTGTTTTCGTATGTTTATTTGACACTTCAGAAATTTCAAATATCGTTCTAACAATATAACAATTTTTCTAAATTCTAATCCATCGAACCATGAATTTGAAAATTTTCATTGCTGACAATTATGAATTAATATCAATCTAAAAATTTTCATTGCTAATAATTATGAATTAATATTCAATTTAAAAATTAAATTTAGAAAATTACTAATGTTTGTTTATTTACATTTATTTGAAATTTCAATTTTGGGATAAATTTCCCCCATTTAGATTCTATTCCATCGAACTATACTATGTTCTGCAAACGTAATCCATATAATGCTACTGAACTAATACACATCACTAAAGTAAAGACATATAGATAGTGAAACAGCAGTCGTTGAACATCTCAAACTTCGATTCGATGCGAAATTAGGACGTCAACAGCAGTATCTACGCTCAAAGACCAAAAGTCACTTTCATGGACGTTTCAGGAGATTAACATTCCGACGATGTTTATATTCTGTGTTTGGGAAACGAATATACAAATTCAAGCGAGAAATAATTCCCAATAGACTCGTAATCCTAACCGTAGTCCCACAAAAATAATATAAATTAAAATATAAAATTAGTAATAAAACAAAATAAAACAAAATAAAAACACAAAAATATTTAGAAACTTGTCTGGCAAAAATTATAATAGTAGCAAATACTAAAATTGGAATTAAAACAATATAAAAATATTTAGAAACCTTTTTAACAAATAATTATTCAATAATAAATAACAAAATGAGAAATAAAACAATATAAACACACTAAAATATTTAGAAACTTGTCTAGCAACAATTATAATAGTAGCAAATACTAAAATTAGAATTAAAACAATATAAAAATAATTAGAAACCTTTTTAACAAATAATTATTCAATAATAAATAACAAAATGAGAAATAAAACAATATAAACACACTAAAATATTTAGAAACTTGTCTAGCAACAATTATAATAGTAGCAAATACTAAAATTAGAATTAAAACAATATAAAAATATTTAGATACCTTTTTAACAAATAATTATACAATAATAAAGAACAAAATGAGAAATAAAACAATATAAAAACACAAAAATATTTAGAAACTTGTCTAGAAAATACTAAAATTAGAAATAAAACAATATAAACATATTTAGAAAAATTTCTAACAAATAATTATTCAATAATAACAAATAAAATTAGAAATAAAACAATATCAAAACACAAATATATTTAGAAACTTGTCTAGCAAAAATTATAATAGTAGCAAATACTAAAAAAAAGAATAAAACTATTTAGAAACCTTTTTAACAAAAATTATTCAATAATAAAAAACAAAATGAGAGAATAAAACAATATAAAAATACTTAGAGACTTTTCTATTAAAAGTTACTCAGTAGCAATGAATAAAATGATAAATAAGACACTACAAAAATATTTAGAGACCTGGCTATTAAAAAATATTCAAAACAAAATATTAGTTGGAAAATTTCACATAAAATCTATTATTATTACAAAATTATCAGATTTCACTACAATAAAAATTCTACCAAAATTTATACCCAGTTGAAAATAATTCTCCTAAATATAAAAAAATAATACCTACTAAATAGTCGAAAAATAATTCTTATATTATTTAAACAATCTTCTGTTATTATTACAAAATTTTCAGATTTACAATAAAAATTCTACCAAAATTTTTACCCTGAAAAGTTGAAAAAAAAATAATTCTCCAAATATACAAAAATAATACCTACTAAATAGTCGAAAAATAATTCTTATATTATTTAAACAATCTTCCATAAATTCATCCTAAATGTCACCAGTTTGTTTAAATTATTCGATTCCAATCATCTTGGGGGCCAACTTCTTGCACCGATCCCAAGCGAGTAACCAAATAGACTGTCGGATGAATTTCTCTGGATCGAACGTATCCCACGAAATCGATCCATATCCCCGAACTTTACTCGTTACCACTTTGCTTATTATAATTTTCCACGACAGTCCACAGAGCATCGAAGTTTTCACGAGAGCCAGATCCCGCTCCTCGACGCGTGGGAGCGCGCGTCAACAAGTTAGATTCGCCTCGATTCGTTCGAGGCGAAATATAATAATTTGCATTTCACTCTACGAACGAATCAAATTCGCGACACACGTGTGCGATGATTCGACTAAAAACTCGTGATCTGTACCACGATCCATCGCCAAACATACTAATTATAGTTTATCTGTTCGTATTTCACGCGAACAATATTGTATGCCCCAATAGCTCACTGATTAGCTATTGTTCACGCACACCAACAGGTGCAAACAACAGTGACGGAATGGATCTGCTCAATATACGATCAAACACACCACTATCTACAGCAAAAAATTTCAAAAGACTCATTTTTTAATTTTAATAATGATTAAACATCGTTTAGTGAGACCATTTTTGTCAAAAGGTCGATAAATAATCAGAGGACCCTATATTTCGCGAGTTTCCTGTCTTCGCGTAACATTGTCATTTAGTATTCCTGTGCTGTAGGTACACTGACACTCTATTCCACTTTGGTCGGGTCCCGTCTTGCCGACTGAAACGATAAACTTGCTTCATTCCGGTGTCGCGGGATTAAAATGCCTGCTTTGCATGAGAAACGTTTTAACGGAAACAAGGGGACCTCTAAGCCCGCGAATTTCTCATGCGAAAAATGAAATTAATCGTATTCGTCGCCATCGATGCTCCAACCTGTACTCTTTATCGAAACACGTCGATTTATTCAGATTAAAAGACAACTATGGAACGTAGGGGCTTTCCCAATCAATCCTCTCTAAATAAAAATTTCAATTTTAGCGGAAAGATATTTCCTCGGAAAATACCAAAAAATTGCGCAAACGTTGGAGAAATTGTTTACACGGCAAGGGAAAACATGGACAATGTAAAATGCCTTCATCGAATCGATCGACTCTCAATAACATTGGAGTGTATTTTCGTTGTATGATCTGAAAATGTTAGAGAATTAAAATAGGTAAACTATTATTTCTTCGTTAAAATGTGACCACACTTTTCTTATTACAAATGTTAGTTATATGGAGACTGAACCTGTAATAATGAAATTTAGTTTTAACAGTGTATTGTTAAAACTTCTTTGGGAACGTAGAGTCGAAGTAAATGTCAAAATAAATATAGAAGACAGCATATATAGGGATAGTTGATATAGTCATTGGATGGGGGATGAAATACCCTTTAAAATGAGTGGTCGTGAGAGTGGATAGCTTTATTAGTTCCGGAGATATGAGGAGTCGATGCGTTTGTTTACATTCTTACTACGGTCTTAACGAGGTCATTGACCGCACGTGACTCGTAGTAAACAATAAACGTGACGTCACTCAGTCACTTGGTCAGTCGGTCAACGTGCGACAAAGAGATCCAACACAACGCGTTAGACAGAGACAGCGATAGTCGAATTAAGAAAAATTACTTTTTACATAAATTACGATATCTCGAAAACGGGAAGTCGTATCGACAAAAACTCTAAACCAATTTCAAAGAGGAAGCTTTGCTGCCGCTAATGGTTGTTTAATTTTGGATAAAACACCAGTAGTTTTGGAATTATGCGTATCTAAAGTTTTAGTATTTTTAATGCGCGCGAGTAGGCCGCCTTAACACGGGAAGCGCCATAAGAGAATTTTTCTAAAATTACGCTTTCATTTAACTTACGATATCTCGAAAACCGGAAGTCGTATCGAGAAAAACCATAAACCAATTTCAAAGAGGAAGCTTTACCGTTGCTAATGGTTGTTTAATTTTGACTAAAACACCAGTAGTTTCGGAATTACAGGTGTATAAAGTTTTAGAATTTTTTAGTACGCGTTAGTAGTGTGTTACAACACGGAGGGCGCCACAAGATGATTTTTTTAAAATTGCGATATCTCGAAAACGGTAAGTCGTATCGAGAAAAACCAAAAAGCAATTTCAAAGAGGAAGTTTCACTCCTTCTAACAGTGACTTAATTTTGAATAAAACAAAAGTAGTTTTGCACCCGTGTAGAGTTTTATAATTTTTAATACGCGTTCCTAAAATCCCAACAACGGAGCCTGTGTATATTTCCCTCGAAAAGGAAAGTCGTGCTCATAGTTGAACCGCAATTCATAACAGTTTCTCAAGGAATTTGTAATATGATTGCACTGACACAGGACGTGGAATTTGAGTTAACTATTCGAAAGCTGCAACTTCATTGTTGGGGGGACGCTTCTAAAGAAAATTGTATTAACCCGCGTCTGTTTGAAGCTAACTTGACGTTACGTGGATATATCAAAGAAAAATAATTTAAACGAAATACTGGGATTCCTTCGAACGTCGTGCTTTTTTCAATTTATCATACATATTCTTCTCAAATAAACCGAAGAAATATACAGTATAAGGAAACTTTGAACGCGATCAAAGTGGCTGTTTGGAATACATAAATTATTCAATTTTCGTTTCTTTGCAAACGGAATCCCTCGATTTTCCGTTTCCCCGTTCTTGGAACAATAATTCCGAAGATAGGAACTGGTTGAACTTAATTAAAAGCCCCTTTCGGTGGAAACAACTTCCTGATCCAATTCCACCTATTTCCTGTCGAATGAAATTGATTGCCACGCCTGCGCGCGAACATCGAATTTCCTATCTCGTGGCTTTTCCTTCTTGTTTCTCTACCTTGAAACTCACCTGGCAAAAGTCCTCGCGATGGAATCAGATGGATGCACGTTCTACTTTAAAAACACAACAAAATCAAATAACAAAGTTTGAATGGGTTATAAGCACTGTACAAAATATTATATTAAATTTGGTGGCTAAAAAAGAACGAAAAAATCATGTTAAGGCTACCAAATTAATTAAAAAAAATATATAGGGTGTTCAACCTGGGAAAAATTTTAATGGGGGATTCTGGAGGCCAAAATAAGACGAAAATGAAGAATAGTAATTTTTTAATTGAGCCTTCGTTAAGAAGTTATTAACGTTTAAAGTTAAAGTGTGCAGACTATCGCGTGCGCGCGCAGCTGTTCCACAGGCGGAACTTCAAACGTTAATAACTTCTTAACGAAGCCACAATTTAAAAATTACAATTCTTCATTTTCGTCTTATTTTCGCCTCTAGAATCTCCTATTAAAATTTTATGAAGCTTTACTTACTTGAAAACCTGGAAGTCAAAAATCATAAAGTCAGCATCTGCACAAAACACTAAGTATCAAGCATTCAGTAACATAATCAAACTTGCTAATAATTGTAAATTAAAATAAATAATCGTGACAGTGAATTTTTAAAATTTCTAAAGTTTTGAACGAATATGTGCATAGGAATGGGTCAGTATTCAATCAAATCCTAATCACCTATTATCGTACATTTATTATTCTCTATTTATAGATCAATATTTCCTTTTATTCGATAACAAATACTCTCTACAGTTTTCATTCGTTATCACTACTGTTTAGGAATTCGGTTTATCGAATTTCTTACAACTAATTGCAAGTCGACGATTCAAATTCGCATTTTATAGTAACTAAGCAACGATATTGCCCCTGTATAAAAAACGTCAGTCGAAAGGAAACGCTACGAAGAAATTTTAAAAATATCAAAGCAAAGTTTATGTAATTATTTATTAACTTTCTCGAGTCTCTAAGAACAAATATATTTTTTATGTCATTTTGAACATTTTTCGAGGCTCGATATTAAAGCACGGAACTTTTTAGCGATCCCTATAAACGAAATGATTTTTTTTATTATAGTTTCTATTCCTTTGTTGTCACACTTTAATTCCGGGGTTATGAAATATAAAAATTCTATTACCTTTCTTACGAAGGAAGCTGAACTGCTCGCTGGATGGTCGAACGTAACTTCACAGAGTGATGTTAAAAAATAAAATAACGCGATAAGTTTTAGGTTTACGAGAGAAATCAATTCTCCAGCATTTCGAGTGAGTTGATAAAAAAAATTCGATTTTCTGTCTGGAATTATGTACACGTTGCTATCAGCCGTACAGGAAATTGAGATTCGCGCGGGACGATCTCGATGAGCATGACTGTGCATCGTAATTCGCGATACGTTTCTCGTTTTTAGGCAAAGTGACCCTGTCGTTGGACGATTGCCAAGATATCTTTAAGAAATAGTCGTCGTGTTTGTTACCGGTTTGCAGCAGCATCACGTTTGCTCGCGATATATCGCTGCTGGGAACGTTCGACCTATACTAGACGCGATCTTCCTCCTCCAGAAGCCTCACCACCTCTGTAAATGAAATTATTTTATCAAATCATCTTCAAAGTTCTTTAAATTTACAGCAATAATTAAATTAAAAGAATATTTTTGGGAGAATTTTTGTGGGAATTTTTGTGAGAATTTTTTTGAGAATTTTTATAAGAATTCTTGTGAGAATTTTTGTGAGAATTTTTGTGAGAATTTTTGTGAGAATTTTTCTGGGAATTTTTATCAGAATTTTCGTGAGAATTTTTATCAGAATTTTTGTGAGAATTTTTATCAGAATTTTTGTGACAATTTTTCAGAAAATTTTTGTGAGAATTTTTGTAAGAATTCTTGTGAGAATTTTTGTGAGAATTCTTCTGAAAATTTTTCTGGGAATTTTTATGAGAATTTTTGTAAGAATTCTTGTGAGAATTTTTGTGAGAATTTTTGTGGGAACTTTTATGAGAATTTTTGTGAAAATTTTTGTGAGTATTTTTGTGAGAATTTTTGTGAGATAAAATTACTATGTAATTATAGACGATTTTTTTTAACACTAGAATTATCGACCAAAGAAATTGAAACGATTTATTTTTATTTCGTGTTATAATTTATACTTTTATACAGAAAATTATAAAAACTGACTGAGGACCTCAGTAAACATTTCCTAAACATTCCCTAATTATTATATTTTAAATTTCACTAGTCAAACAAGCATAAAATTCCCTATAAACTCATAATATTCAAATATGAGCACTATGAGCTTAATATGGAAAGTGAAGAGCTCAGTAAAAAAATAAAAATTCCCTAAACGATTATTTCATTTAAAATTTTACCTGGTAAAAGAGCATAAAAATTCCTATAAATTCATAATATTCAAGTATGAGCACTATGAGCCTAATATGGAAACTGAGGACCTCAATAAAAAAAAATAAACATTCCCTAAATGTTCTTTAATAATTGTATTTTAAATTTCACTAGTCAAAGAAGCATAAAATTGCTATAAATTCATAATATTGAGGTATGAGCACTATGAGCCTAATATGGAAAGTCAGAACCTCAGTAAAAAATAATAAATATTCCCTAAATATTCCCTAATAATTGTATTTTAAATTTGACTAGTCAAAGGAGCATAAAATTTCCTATAAATTTATAATATTTAAATATGAGAGCATTATGAGCCTAATATGGAAAGTGAAAAGCTCAGTAAAAAAAAAATTCCCTAGTAATTATATTTTAAATTTCACTAGTCAAAGGAGCATAAAATTCCCTAGAAATTCATAATACTCAACTATGACCACTATGAGCCTAATATGGAAAGTCAGAACCTCAGTAAAAAAATAAAAATTCCCTAGTAATTATATTTTAAATTTCACTATCTCAAACAAGCATAAAATTCCCTATAAACTCATAATATTCTAGTATGAGCACTATGAGCCTAATATGGAATGTGAAGAGCTCAATAAAAAAACTAAACATTCTCTAATAATTATATTTTAAATTTCACTAGACAAAGGAGCTTAAAATTTCCTATAAATTTTCTATAAATTCATAATACTCAAGTATGAGCAGTATGAGCCTAATATAGAAAGTCAGAACCTCAGTAAAAAAATAAAAATTCCCTAGTAATTATATTTTAAATTTCACTATCTCAAACAAGCATAAAATTCCCTATAAACTCATAATATTCTAGTATGAGCACTATGAGCCTAATATGGAATGTGAAGAGCTCAATAAAAAAACTAAACATTCTCTAATAATTATATTTTAAATTTCACTAGACAAAGGAGCTTAAAATTTCCTATAAATTTTCTATAAATTCATAATACTCAAGTATGAGCAGTATGAGCCTAATATAGAAAGTCAGAACCTCAGTAAAAAAATAAAAATTCCCTAGTAATTATATTTTAAATTTCACTATCTCAAACAAGCATAAAATTCCCTATAAACTCATAATACTCAACAATGAGCACTATGAGCCTAATATAAAAATTCAGAACCGCCCTAAAAAAAGCACCCAATTCCCTAAACCGTCATTTCACCAGCCCAAGGAGCACAAAATTCCCTATAAATTCATAACATTCACAAACAAATGCAACACATCTATAAAACACTGTCTCATATGAGGGCAACTGACCCTTAAGTAAATAAATAAATAAATAAATAAACAAATACAAAAATTGACTTCGTAATACCGGATCTGGCGACGAGGGAAGCCTTCCCAAGGTAAATCGTGGACTCGTTCCCGCTCAACTCGCTATTGTTCGCTCCCTGTATCGCGTTCCTCGTGGACGTCATCGCCACATCACTGTTCCTGCACCCAACTCTGAAATCCATTTCTCAGTTCGCTCTGCCCTTCAAATATCGTTGCAAAATCACCATTTAACCCTTTGCACTCCCAAATCATATTCCAATTTCATTATTAACAGCTTCCAATTTTAGAATTTTATTCGAAATTTTACCTTTCAAAACAAGTGTTTCATTTACCCTATTGTTTTCAAGTGTATGATATAAAACAAACAAAAAAACAATATAAAAATATTTAGAAACCTTTCTAACAAAAATTATTCAATAATAAAAAATAAAATATAAAAATATTTAGAGACTATATTTAGAGTCTATTAAAAGCTACCCAGTAGAAATAAATAAAATAATAAAATATTAACAAAAATATTCAAAGACCTGATTGTTAAAAAATATCCCAAAACAAAGAGTGTATATCTGTTTGCTTTGGACTTGAAAAATTGTCGGAGCTCCTGAGATAAGAATTGATGTCAAGTCTCCACATAGGAGTGCAAAGGGTTGAAGAATAGAAAAACATATGAAACAAGCTACCTCCAGCAACGATGGCAGCCAAAGAGGCCAAGGAACGCCTGACGGAACTTCCTGTTCATGAAACAGTAGGTGATTGGGTTGCAGCAACTGGAGACGTAGGCTAGTAGCTGAACCAGGATGATCCCTGTGCTCCCGACCACTGAGTAGACCAACTTAGGTGCGAAGAGGTACCACGTGTTGATCACGTGCAGAGGCGCCCAGCAGATGAAGAACTCGAGAACGATCACGAACAACATCCTGATCACCTGGAACCAACGCGATGCGATCGTGGTACTCGACAGATCGCGACTGATCGATCGTCAGGCGATCCTGGAGACCGCAGGAGGGGATCAGGCGCTACCAATCGTGGCTGAGCACCTGAGACGTCTGTGGTCTGTGCTACTTGCTCCCAAAATGGCCGCTTTGATAACGGTTTATGTTAGTTGGAACTGAAATTGTCCTTAATGACTTGACACTTCATGTCAATATGGGGTTACTATATACTTTAGGTGACTATAGGGTTACTATGGGGCTAAAATGATTGAATTTTGAGATTTTGGGGAAATTGGGATTTGAGAATTTTTGAGTGTATTTTGTTTTAGTGAACAATTTTACGATTTTGATTTCTGTATATTTTTGTATATTTCAATTTTTTTCTAGTTTTATTTTATATATATTATTTATCTTCATTTTATCTAGATATTATTGTATATCTAGTTTTAATTTTATTATAGTTTGTGTGTTTTGGGAATTTTGGTAATAATGGAAAATTGTGAAATTAAATTTTTTGAGACACTTTGAAATTAAATATTGTTATAATTGAATAACATTTATATAGTGAATTTAATATTGTAATTTTTGGTTGCTTGGTAATTTAAATCGAAATTATTTTAATAAATCAAGATTATACTTGTTTTAGATTACTCCATAAAATAATAATTTTGTAATATAAATATAATTGTTTATGTACAATATTTTAATTTTATTCTACTTTTTGTATCTCAAAAATTTATTTAATACTGAAAATTGCAAAATGAAATTTTTCAATGAAACTTTAAAATTAAATAAATATAATTATTATACAGTAATATTCTAATATCTTTCTTTGTCAATTTAACACAAAATTATTTTAATAAAAATTATTATCACTTCTTTTAAATAATTCCCTAAGAAATTAAATAATTCCAAAATAATTAAATCTCGAGTTAAAATGTTAAAAGAAATAAATTTGAATAAAATTCCTGGAAATTTTTCAGGGAGTAAATTTTATTTTCATAAAAAATTGCACGATTAATCAACGAGAGGGAAATATTCTAAAGAATCTTGCGCAACAAATAAATATATTGTGTCTCGATAATTGTACGCCCACGCTTCGGAGAAAATAAATAAATTTAATAAATTATAATTAATATCGTGTGTTCACAATGCCTTCCAAATGATTTTTAACAAAATCAACGAACCAACAGAAATCTAATATAAAAATTCGACATGAAAAATTTAAGATTCACTAATCTAGATTTTTATGAAACAAGTTTCTCGCTCGATTGCATTCATTTGATCGTAGATTCGTAGTCCACTAAGTACTCTTTCAACTTTTCTCATTAAGGAACGCGATTATGTCATTTTAAACTCCTACGAGAATCCGGCACTTCCAAGGAGGGGAACGTTTTTATTAAAAACTTTTTCCTTTCGTGACAAATACTTTCTCAAGTAGCACTTAGTGTTCCTCGGATTTCGTACAACTTGATAATTTTAATTTCCATTGGAGTTTAGCAACAAGGAAACTATGAGACGATGAATTCTAAATTATCCTAACACTGATTCGTTCCAAAAATTTCACCTGACAAAAGAAGAATATTCCACGTAATATTTTAATTTATTATTTTGTTTATTTATTTTACTGTTTTTTATTAATCGAAGCATGAAATCTTTTAACGAGTTAATAAACGTCAGTCGAAAGAATAAATGTATTTTCAGTCTGTAGATAATTTTTTTTAACGATTCTATAAATATTTAGAAACAATAGATACGTTTGAAGTCTGTCGAAGCTAACAAACGTCAGTCGAAAGAATAAATGTATGGAAAGTCCTGTCAAAAATTTTTTTAACGAGGTAATAAATGTCCTGTGAAAGAATAAATATACGTGAAATCATAAAAAAAATTTTTTAACGAATTTATAAATGTTGGGAAGAATAGATATGTTTGAGATTTGTGGAAAATTTTTAAACAGGTTATTCAAATTTTAATGGCGGATTCACCAGGTCAAAATAAGACGAAAATCAAGAATAACAATTTTTCGTTTGAAGCTTCGTTCAAAAGTTATTAACACTTGCGCCTCTAGATAGGCAACTTGCGTAGGGTGCAAGTGTTAATAACTATGTAACGGAGCCTCGGACTCGGGAAAAACTCTGGAGGTGGATTCTAGAGGCCAAAATAAGACGAAAATCAAGAATATCAATTTTTAAATTGAGGCTTCGTTACAAAGTTATTAACACTTGCGCCTCTAGATAGGCAGCTAGCGTAGGGTGCAAGTGTTAATAACTATGTAACGGAGCCTCAAACTCGGGGAAAATTCTGGAGGTGGATTCTAGAGGCCAAAATAAGGCGAAAATCAAGAATATCAATTTTTTAATTGAGGCTTCGTTACAAAGTTATGAACACTTGCACCTCTAGATAGACAGCTAGCGTAGGGTGCAAGTGTTAATAACTATGTAACGGAGCCTCAGACTCGGGATAAATTCTGGAGGTGAATTCTAGAGGTTAAAATAAGATGAAAATCAAGAATATCAATTTTTAAATTGTGGCTTCGTTACAAAGTTATTAACACTTGCGCCTCTAGATAGACAGCTACCGTAGGGTGCAAGTGTTAATAACTATGTAACGGAGCGTCAAACTCGGGGAAAATTCTGGAGGTGGATTCTAGAGGCCAAAATAAGACGAAAATCAAGAATATCAATTTTTAAATTGAGGCTTCGTTACAAAGTTATTAACACTTGCGCCTCTAGATAGGCAGCTAGCGTAGGGTGCAAGTGTTAATAACTATGTAACGGAGCCTCAAACTCGGGGAAAATTCTGGAGGTGGATTCTAGAGGCCAAAATAAGGCGAAAATCAAGAATATCAATTTTTAAATTGAGGCTTCGTTACAAAGTTATTAACACTTGCGCCTCTAGATAGGCAACTTGCGTAGGGTGCAAGTGTTAATAACTATGTAACGGAGCCTCGGACTCGGGGAAAATTCTGGAGGTGGATTCTAGAGGCCAAAATAAGGCGAAAATCAAGAATATCAATTTTTAAATTGAGGCTTCGTTACAAAGTTATTAACACTTGCGCCTCTAGATAGACAGCTACCGTAGGGTGCAAGTGTTAATAACTATGTAACGGAGCGTCAAACTCGGGGAAAATTCTGGAGGTGGATTCTAGAGGCCAAAATAAGGCGAAAATCAAGAATATCAATTTTTAAATTGTGGCTTCGTTACAAAGTTATTAACACTTGCGCCTCTAGATAGGCAACTTGCGTAGGGTGCAAGTGTTAATAACTATGTAACGGAGCCTCGGACTCGGGAAAAACTCTGGAGGTGGATTCTAGAGGCCAAAATAAGACGAAAATCAAGAATATCAATTTTTAAATTGAGGCTTCGTTACAAAGTTATTAACACTTGCGCCTCTAGATAGGCAGCTAGCGTAGGGTGCAAGTGTTAATAACTATGTAACGGAGCCTCAAACTCGGGGAAAATTCTGGAGGTGGATTCTAGAGGCCAAAATAAGGCGAAAATCAAGAATATCAATTTTTTAATTGAGGCTTCGTTACAAAGTTATGAACACTTGCACCTCTAGATAGACAGCTAGCGTAGGGTGCAAGTGTTAATAACTATGTAACGGAGCCTCAGACTCGGGATAAATTCTGGAGGTGAATTCTAGAGGTTAAAATAAGATGAAAATCAAGAATATCAATTTTTAAATTGTGGCTTCGTTACAAAGTTATTAACACTTGCGCCTCTAGATAGACAGCTACCGTAGGGTGCAAGTGTTAATAACTATGTAACGGAGCGTCAAACTCGGGGAAAATTCTGGAGGTGGATTCTAGAGGCCAAAATAAGACGAAAATCAAGAATATCAATTTTTAAATTGAGGCTTCGTTACAAAGTTATTAACACTTGCGCCTCTAGATAGGCAGCTAGCGTAGGGTGCAAGTGTTAATAACTATGTAACGGAGCCTCAAACTCGGGGAAAATTCTGGAGGTGGATTCTAGAGGCCAAAATAAGGCGAAAATCAAGAATATCAATTTTTAAATTGAGGCTTCGTTACAAAGTTATTAACACTTGCGCCTCTAGATAGGCAGCTAGCGTAGGGTGCAAGTGTTAATAACTATGTAACGGAGCCTCAAACTCGGGGAAAATTCTGGAGGTGGATTCTAGAGGCCAAAATAAGGCGAAAATCAAGAATATCAATTTTTAAATTGAGGCTTCGTTACAAAGTTATTAACACTTGCGCCTCTAGATAGACAGCTACCGTAGGGTGCAAGTGTTAATAACTATGTAACGGAGCCTCAAACTCGGGGAAAATTCTGGAGGTGGATTCTAGAGGCCAAAATAAGGCGAAAATCAAGAATATCAATTTTTAAATTGTGGCTTCGTTACAAAGTTATTAACACTTGCGCCTCTAGATAGGCAACTTGCGTAGGGTGCAAGTGTTAATAACTATGTAACGGAGCCTCGGACTCGGGAAAAACTCTGGAGGTGGATTCTAGAGGCCAAAATAAGACGAAAATCAAGAATATCAATTTTTAAATTGAGGCTTCGTTACAAAGTTATTAACACTTGCGCCTCTAGATAGGCAGCTAGCGTAGGGTGCAAGTGTTAATAACTATGTAACGGAGCGTCAAACTCGGGGAAAATTCTGGAGGTGGATTCTAGAGGCCAAAATAAGGCGAAAATCAAGAATATCAATTTTTTAATTGAGGCTTCGTTACGAAGTTATTAACACTTGCACCTCTAGATAGACAGCTAGCGTAGGGTGCAAGTGTTAATAACTATGTAACGGAGCCTCAGACTCGGGATAAATTCTGGAGGTGAATTCTAGAGGTTAAAATAAGATGAAAATCAAGAATATCAATTTTTAAATTGAGGCTTCATTACAAAGTTATTAACACTTGCATCTAAACCCAAGTTGCCTAACTACGCAATTCCCTATCTACAGACGCAACTGTTAATATCTCTTTAACGAAGCCTCAAACGAAAAATTACTATTCTTGATTTTCGTCGTATTTTGACCTGGTGAATCCACCTCCAAATTTTTCCCCAGGGATTCTTTTGTTTGGATACCTTTTTTTTCGCTTCGATGCTCTTGCCAACGTAATTACTGCGTATCGCGTGTTGCCTGCCGAGTGGACACTCTTGCTGGTCCTCGCTGATGTCCTTGGCCGAGTAATTACTCCCATTGGACCGTATTTGTATCCGCGATTCATGGGAAAAATCCGATCTTTGACATTTCCCGGCGAGAATCCTGGAGAACCTTGTTCGCTGGATACGCACCTTGTTAGGGAAAACATGAAAATAGATCGTAAAAAATATTGCATCAGAATGTTAACTGATAAACCAGGTTTTAGATTACTTCGTAAAAAATGAAATAATTCTATAAATCTTGCAATTTTAATTTTAATTTATGGAATACTGGCAAAAATTGGAAAATAAAATTTTTCACGATACAAAATTTCACATTGCAATATCCTTGTAATTTAACTCGAAACTAATTAATAAACCAGGATTAATAATACTTGTTTTAAATTATTTCATAAGAGATTAAATAATTCTGTAAAATCCATGAAACTTTTTTTTTTTTTTAATTTCATTATACTTTAATATTGGCAAAAATTTTAAAATAATATTCTTCACGATACTTTAGAATTAAACAAATGTAATTTAATACTGAAATCCTTTGGTTCGGAAAAATACATATTTCTTTGATAATGAAACTCGAAATTGTTTATTGATGTGTAAAAATTACACGCCACGTGTTAATTTTCATTACCATTTATTTGTAGAATAAATATTAATAATTTTTTATCGATCGACACGAAATTATTAATATTTCAGTGTGTAAGTATTCTTGGGTTTAATAATGCATAGGAATGTTTTTTACGAAACAGAGAGCTTAGAAGTTCGGAGGCAATGTTAATAAAGATGAAATTCTCGTGCTTAAGACTGCATGGGGAAGTTTGGTGTGCAAAGAAAAGAGCTTTTGGCAACAGAAATAAAATAGCCGGTAAAGTGGCGAAACAAAGTTTTGATTGTTTGGGGGAGGGGAAACTATGTCGAAAAACAGCAAGTTTCGACCAGGAAAGTTTCACCAAACTACTGGTGTATATATTCTTTGAGGATGATTTTCAAATGAATTTTATAATGTATTTTTCTCTTACTATTTTCAAACACCCACGTATGGTTCAACTTTGCCAATTTTGGCACATTAAATAATTATATTAGATGTATCAGTTTCATTGATTTTCATCTCTACATTTTATGTTTTCTGACTTATTCAAGAAAATTAAATGAAATTTTTTGATTTGAAATGAAAAGAAATGAAATTTTTTGATTTGAAATGAAATTAAATGAAATCTATTGATTTAAAATGAAATAAAATCTATTGATTTGAA